TGCAATCTCAGAGAAGCTTGATTCACTGCGAAAAGGGAAGAGTGAAGTCATCGAAAAGAACCATGTACTAATTCTTGGATGGAGTGACATATTGGTAAGCATCTTGAGAATCTGTCTTTGACCTGATGATTCACATTAGTTTGAGGTGATATTATATTCTTGGTAAGCATTTCCATATTGTTAGAGGTCAAAAGGTTTGAAAGTGAAGAGTGTTATGATATAATGGAGTTTAAGAAATGATTCTAGATGGAAATGGGGTTTAAGAAATGATTTTATGTCATAGGGATCACTATTAAAGCAACTGGCAATAGCCAACCAAAGTGAAGGTGGTGGTGTGGTAGTTGTACTTGCTGAAAGAGACAAGCAGGAAATGGAGATGAAAATAGGAAAGCTAGAATTTGACTTTATGGGGACGTCTGTTATATGTAGGAGTGGCAGTCCTCTAATACTGGCTGATCTAAAGAAGGTAAGTAGGTATCTATCCATAATATTCTTTCTAGTTTTGCCTGGATGTCTGACATTCCTTTATGAGCATTCAGTCAGTTGTTAAATGTGCTTCCTTTGTCTCTTCAATTTTCCTCCTTGCTGCATCTGGGTTGACTTCGTTTCTAATTTACAGGTTTCAGTATCAAAGGCTCGTGCAATTATTGTATTAGCATCTGATGAAAATGCAGATCAGGTTGTTAAATCTTTCAGCAGCTCATGCTTCTTGGTAACTAGTCTTTTTTTTTTTGTTGTGAAACCTTAATTATTCTCTGCCTCTGTTACTAGAGTGATGCGCATGCTTTGAGGGTTGTACTCAGCCTAATTGGAGTAAAAGAAGGTCTGAGGGGTCATGTTGTGGTAGAGATGAGTGACATTGACAATGAGCCCCTGGTGAAGCTTGTTGGAGGAGAACTTGTTGAAACAGTTGTTACACATGATGTGATTGGGCGCTTGATGATTCAGTGTGCTTTGCAACCTGGCCTTGCACAGGTTAGATAAATTACATTTCCGGTCTTCTAGGAAAAAATAGTCTCTTCTTTATTGGAGAGAATCTTTTTAAACTTCTCATAATTTGAGCTTTTGGACATCCAGATAGACTTTGATTCATATGTGTTGGTCCATCAAACAATTGTTCTCCTCCAGCCCTCACTCCATTTTAACGTTGATTCTCCCTGTTTTCTGTGATCAGATATGGGAGGACATTTTGGGGTTTCAGAATTGTGAGTTTTACATCAAAAGATGGCCACAATTGGATGGTCAGTGCTTTGGAGATGTGCTTGTTTCATTCCCTGATGCAGTTCCTTGTGGAATTAAGGTTGCTGCAGATGGTGGAAAGATAATCTTAAATCCACATGATAATTATGTATTAAGAGAAGGAGATGAAATCCTTGTTATAGCTGAGGATGATGATAATTACTCTCCAAGTCCTCTCACAGAGGTCATCTTTCTTTCCTTTCTCTTTGTATCACGAATTATAAGTAGCAGATTATTAAAAGTTGCAACTTTTCCTTTTTGAAAAATTCCAAATTTGATCTTCTACTGGCTCTGGTCATCTTGATAACTTTACCATCTTTGGTTTGAATTAGAAATCACAGTTATACTAATGCTAAATAACAAATATAACACTGCCTGCATTCTTTCTGACTTCTGTTCGTTGCCAGCTTATCTTTCTAATTTATGCTGCTTTCCATTGGAAGGTACGTGGGGGTCTTTGCCCAAATTTGGCTGATCCTCCAAAACATCCAGAGAAAATACTATTCTGTGGTTGGCGTCGTGATATTGATGATATGATAAAGGTAAAAAACCCCATGGTCTTACACAAATCTTCACATATTTCTAATTTTGAACTGTACTTTGCTTCAAATACATTAGGAAAAGACCTCAAGAGTTGATAATGGAATTTCC